GAGCGAGATTTTCCACGACGGTAGTCGAGTCGGACTCGAACGATCGATCCTCCAGCCTGCAGCATTTAGACTCGAACTTTTGGCTTTTCAGAAGAACCCGCCGGCGTACTTTGCTGCACGTAAAGTTACGTCCGTGGTCCGGGATTCGGCGGAGTCCGAAACCTCGTTCGGCCCCGGCCTTTTCAAAGCGCTGCAGATAAATTGAGAGAGCACTGTAATCGTGATGAGACTCAGGGATTTTGGGCATTGAATGACGCCTGAATGTGAACTCTCGTTGCGTCTTCGAATTCAATCCGTTCCTCTTTCCCTCCTTTTTCAATGTTCGTTACCTCTGCTTCACTGTTCGATTCGCGTTTAAGACGTGGTCCTTGGTTTTTTCGACCCAGGAATTTCGATTGCCACCAGAGAGGATGCACTCGCAGCCGCTTGCTTTTTCGATGCCGCGTTAAAAGGACATTCCGCGATGTTTTCATAGGCACTCCGGATTCGCGTTCCCGCGGACTCGGAAATTGTATCTCTTAATGCCGATTCGGGATGAATTTTAAAATCCGCGACTCCCCGGAGGGCTTGGTTTGCTTCTCGTCTCGGATTCGCGAAATATCCCCGCACCTGGAGAACTTGCGATAGGAAAAACGCCGCCTCGTGGAGCGATGATACTCCTCGTGGAAAATGGAGATGCGATTTCGCAAAAGGCAATAAAAACACCGGGAGATGAGAATAACACTCACGACCGAGTGGTAACGTGACGCAAGGAATGTTTCACGCGTATGACTGGAATTAATTGACCGTTTATTATCAATTTGCTCGCGCATATTTCCCGCGAAACTGCAGACACTAAGCGCATTTACCGCTTTGATTTTAAGTACCGTTTACTGCAGCGTGAGTAAATGCATCGCATTGAGTGCGGTGCATCGATTGCGTTGAATGGGACACGTGACAGATGTGTACCTAGAGATGTGCGCTTTGAGATTCGAATACGTATTCGGTACGTACATCCGGTTAGCGTATTTGATACCGACACTCGATAATACAGATAAACGGCATGTAGGTACTCGGTGGCCAAATAAATACTCGTTACTCGTTATCGACCGCGGTGCGTCTGCGACGGTGCTTAAACACGCATTTTCGTCAAAGTCGTTGATTAAACCTCGACCTGGAGTGCCGTGTCGTTTTTATAATTAATTACGATCACAGTATCCGCGCCACGTCAAGAGACAACCTCGAATCGGGCCGATCCGAGTTTCGACTATGCGGACTTCTTTTGCCACCAAACAAATTCCGGCAAGGAAAGCGCGTGAATATTTATGAAGCAAGCTGTACCATGGCAGACGAATTGTGTATCCACCTTCCGGGGGATCATTACGTGCGAGATGAAACACCGACGCGAGTCGCGGAGGTGTAAATGATATTTTAATTTCCCCTCCGGAGAGCAATTGACTAATTGACGCAGCCGACGCGGTGCCTTTTCAAGCTGCGTCCGATTTCCGGTAAAACGGCGCACTCGATTCGTTGCTAACGACGCGTGCGAAAATAATTCGTTACGGATGCGTTTACCGAGTCGCGCCTCGTTATCCGAGGCTTTCCAGAAATCTCATGGTATCCCTGAAACGCGAAAGAATGGCGCGACGACGAGCTCGTCTCGAATGGAATTATCTTCCCTGGTCGGTTTAATTAAAACCCGTAGAAATATATCGATACCTTTTCTCGGGGTGAGAAACGACGAATATGCTGGAAAGCGAATTCGCGTCGAACGTCGTATTTCGCCGAAGAATCGAATTTTCGACGGGCGCTTTTCATCGGACGAGTGTCGATGTTTTCGGCGGAAGATATTCCCGCCCACGTGGCGGATTATTCATACGAAGGGATGTGCCGGAGGAACTATCCGGGAAGAACTATCACATATCATTGGCGCGACATGTGCACAGCCAACGCAATTCCCATTGTGGCAGGCAGGGCAAACGTATGACGCGTGGACTCGGGCTCATGAAATCTAAAATGTCGGACGCAGAGCACCGGCCCCGTTGTGCGCGTCCTATGTCGTCCCGGATACCAATATTCTCCCTGACATATCACTGATACGCGCGTTACAAGCTCCTGCAGCGATATCGCCGTTCGACCGCCGCTTAAAAAACACTTAGAGGGCCGCTAATAAAGCCCGTTCGGGAATAAACCCCGTGATAATTATGCAAGTGCTCGTTACTCTCACGTTTATGACGCCGCGATCAATGTTGCTCCTTCCGCACTTAATGTAGTCCACTTGCAATCGATATTCCAGTTCGTTTGCATATCGAAGAAAGTATCGCTTAATTTGCAATATCTCTTTACTTCCGCGGTCTTAACGGCGGGATCGCGTGGCCGCTTTCGAGAGATCGATCGGAATAAGGAGAGGCGACGGAGCGAGCATTACTTTGCATTCGTTCATCGACCAATTCGTTTAGTCCCTTGTGTGTCGATATACTTGCCCCGAGAAAGAAATTTCATTGAACCGATGAAATAATTCTTTGAACAGTACCAAAGAATAATTATTTGACTGAAATAAATTCGAATCAATCGGAGGCAACATTTCTTCGGAATGATAATAATTTATTTGAGTCTAATAATTATTCTTTGATTTAATTAAATCATTGGTACTGTTAGAAGAAATATATCTTTGGCTCGATGAATTCTTTTTTCTGAGGGTGGATTTCACGAGTACGCACGGATTTGGACGTCGAATCTCGATATCGAAGTTCGTGGTTTCCTCCTTGAATCATCCCCTTGAAGCGAGAAATGGGCAAAATGAAAGCCGCGGATCTCCTCAGGGTTACCCCGACGTTTGGTCCTGAAGAGGGAGGCCAGGCGTTTTCGTCGGAAATTCGAGAACGCGAAAACCTTTGAGATGACCTGGAGGCTGGGCGCGATATCGGGCGATAAAAAGAAAACTCATTTGCGGATTCAGTGGTGCGAAGCCACGCCTAAATCGAGCCTCTGAAACGACTCGGTCCAGGACCTTTCATCGACGGCAGGTTCCTATATCGAGGATCCGAGGGTGCAGAGGAAAGTGAAGGTCCTTACCCTTAGAAGGAGGGTGGGTTTCGCGCGATTCTGTGGATCGGACTTCGAGGTTTCCCTCGAATTCTCTGGGAAGGATCGAAAAGCTGGTCACCGCGTAGAGGCTGGATATAGATCGTCGGTAAATTGGCTCCCAGAGACGGACAGGGTGGGTTTAGGATTTCGCCATTGTTTAACTAAACATATCCGGCAAGATAAACGAATGTCCGGGGAGCATTCGAGATGGGAACCTCACGCGACGTCCATTCGTCGGAAATATGCCCGGCCCGATTAGGAGTACTTACAATAAAATGAAATGAAGTAAAACTAATCGGGTAATCATGCAGCGTGTCAATCTGTAATTTGATAAACTCGTGTCGTCCCCTTCGGAGCACAGTGGACTTCTTCTAATTTGCCGTGGACGACACCTCCATGAGTCTCGTGTAATTCTCGAATGAATTGTCGGTACAGAACGATAAATCACCCAGAAGCTGCGGCTCCGGTTCACCGCTCGAAGGTGGCCGCATTATAGTAAATCCCGGCTTAATGACGATATCCTCGTTAGCAGGGTTTATCGCCAGAGTTCGTTTCATTTTGCCTCGCTTAAGTCGGCCCGCAACTTACTCGATAAGGGAAAACAGTGGAATTTTCTCAAGTTTAATTAAACCTCGGGGCGCAATCTATTTTCAATCAAGCTGCCAGGCCGTAGAGGAAACACTCGGTAATCGGTAATAAATTGGGGACTTTCGTCACTCTTTTTTCGTCTTTTCGAGCTCCGTTGATCCAGACTCGTCCTCTGGAGAGCGGAATATGGTTCTCTTGTCCGGTGCGGTTAGGTTAGAGTAGGTAGGTGCTGCGCGTACAAGGTGGAGGCGAAGGTCTCTGCTTACATTACTGAGATCTGCCACCGATCGTTGAGGTTACCTTGTCTTCTCTCTCGCATTTCCTGCTCGCAAACAGCGCCACGAGTGAAATAGACCCTGGGAGCATCTAGGGTCCTTACGCAAAGAGCACTCCATTCGGCTAACTGGCTTATGATGAATCCTTACTGTACAAAGGAAGACATACGCGAAGGGGTGGAGGGTCCTGCGGTTCAATAATGCAAATTATCAAATGGACCGATCCTTCCCAACAAGGGGCTAGGTTTAAGTAGGTTTAAGCAGCTTGACATACATTTTCCATCGAGATTCTCCGTCATCTCGATCCTGCAATCTTCCGATTGGCAAGATTTTCGATCAGGTTCGAGTAAACGGGAAAGTTGGAAACGATGCGTTTTCCTTGGGACCACTTTTCCTGGGTTGGTCAAACTCTGAGCTCTCGGCATGAAATGTGTTCAATAGTACATGTCTGTATACCGCGATACCAATTAGTCAAGGAATAATAGTCGGCGCACAATGTTCGCCTCGACTCAATGGAGGACCAATTTGCACGCAATGAGAAGGTATCGGGTTATTATTAGGAAGTGTTCGAAATTTCCCGCAGGCGGTACCTAACGAACAAATACTTCTACTCGTCCGTTCATCGTGTTCCATCGTATGTACGGCGCGAAAATAACGAAGTGCAATTCTGGCCTGACAGAATTGGAAAAAAAAAAAACTTTTCAAGCCCATCGAACCTGCGTCGTAAATGGGATTTCATTTTATTTTTTCGAGTCCGCTGGTCCATTCCCTCCATTGAGCGCGTTTTCATGCATGGCTGGAAGTTTATGTACTTGTAGGTAAAAAGCGGTTCACCCACCACTACGGTTGGGATCAATTCAGATATTTTTTTTCAATTTTCCGTCCAAACCTTTATCCGTTCTTAGTCGAATTCGAAAAGGCTTTTGAATTACTGGTTTTGCGTCATGACGTTTTCACTGGTATATCGCATTTAACGATACAGTCGGGTAATCACACGTAAAGGCGAGAGTTTAATTAAAGGATTATTATGCGGAATTCTGAATATCGATCCGAGTAGTAGATTTTCGCATCCGGGTTTATAATCGTTTATTCGACCGTCTACAATTAATTAGTTTCCTAATTAACATCGACTTAGTTCGTAGCTCGCATTCGAGTGACCCGGGTGGTAACGTTCACCTGGTCGAATAATCGTTAATCGGTGTCCATCCAATTGACATTTGACGAACTATTGTCCTGCTAGAGTGGCTCGCTGGGAAAAAGCGCTTTTACGGTAGCTTGGTCAAATCGTACGAGAGGCAATATCGACGTCGATGGAACGAGGAGTCGATAGTTGTTAACGCGAAATCCTTCGGCACTCGTACGCGACAAGAGATCTTTCAATGTTTAATCATCAGCATTTAATTCTGCTAAATACATCACACATTGAATATTACACAATATTATTAGCGAATATATCGTATGTCGGTGTCAACGTATTCAACGTGTCTGCGATCGTGGATGGTTCTTAGTTAGTAAATAATGATAAATACTGGCATCCTCTAGAGTAAGTAATCATGACGCGTATATAAATATACCAATTTTCGATAAGAGAGTATCAAAAGTAACATGCTCAGTCGTTCCTGCGTGGAAATTCGCCACAGACAGCGGATCTGTGCGTGTATAACTTATCGGTTAGGTAATAATAATTAATCGTAGAGTCTCCTTTCTAGCACTGTTCAAAGATCGTTTCCTGGTCGAGACATTCAATTCTGTCTTACTTGCTCTACTCCTGGCCTGGGCTTTTATGAACCATTTGCGGGGAAAAAAGAATAATAATATTCTGGCGTGACTTGAAAGTGGTAAAAACTCGTTAGAGGCCTCTTTATCGTTTTACGAGGAGGGCCGTAAAGCGTTGGCTATAACCAGATCCGTTGTTCATGACTTTATCAATCGTATATCACGTTATTCGGAATCTCGTGGGAACGCATTTGGTGAGGTTTAGCGCCGTTTTCTTGTGCCGATTGACTCGCTTAAAGTTTAATCGAAGCCTCAGGATTTTAGTCCGCACGATTTATTCATGTACACTCTTTGATACAACTTAGGCTAGTCGTTCAACCCACGGCGGATCTTGTTTCGCTAAACGCATGTGCACGTCGCGTGTAAACGATTTCCGTTCCGCAGGGATCATAAGGCGAATAATATATGCAGAAGTATAAACAGTGAAATGTTACAAAACGCTCGGTCGAGAGTCGCGTACCGGAAATAGATACGGACGATAAATAATTACTACACCTATGTACACGCGTGAACTAGAGGGAGGAAAAGTAACAAAGAAAATGAACGTTGCTCCTAATTTCGAAGTACCCAGTAAATGAGTCGCGGGGATAATTTTCAATTAATTCAGGGATTTAGCGGGTCATCGAGCCGTTGTCAATTTTGATATGTCACGACTTGTGTTTGACTTTAGCAAAATATATGCGGAATAATGGAAGAACGCGTATCTGCCGAAACGACTGTGCGAAAATGGCATCGCGATTAAGAAAAAAAAAAGAAAAGAAAATGACGTCGATGACGCATCGCGAGACTCCGAACGCTTGAATTTGTGCACGGATTACCAAAAATTAACGACACTTTGCACAGTTAACGACGTTATTTGACGTCCCTTCGCTAATCGCGAATCCGAACGATGTACCGCAACAAGGTTGCAATTTCCCTCGTTAGTGATACTGTCTCTAATAACCGGATACGGTACGAGACTCAATGTAGAGTTTTACAGTCCGAACATGATTTTAGAAACGTCGGAGTAATTAACGCTATAAAAATATAGTCTTTCCGTACAAAGTGGGATGGTTCTAGGAAAGCTCAATGAAGTTGCTCGTTAAGTACACGTTACAGTGGCGCGGCCTAAAAAACGGAACCAGTCGCGAAATTCTTCGGAATCGTTCGCAGTCGATAAAAAATGGTTACCTCTGTGCTGCATCCGTTGAAATTAGGAGGGTAAACGCATAATCGGTGGCTCAGATCGATCGGATTTAATCGGCGATCAAGCCTAACCCGCGTACTTTCTGAAAGCGGTGGAAAAGGAATCGCGAAGAGGTTTCGAGGGGTGAAAAAGGTGAATCTATCTCGTGGCGAATTTTGTTTCTTTCTTTTTTTTTCCAGCGTAGACCTCGGAGATATGAGTGATATTTGCAATGAAACTACGATGGGTACGCGATGATAGGGAAATGTCTATATATGTACATATCTTTACACGCGGCTCGCTAAGAGGCCGCGATCGCACGTTGGCGTTATCTCGGTAATATTTTACACTTTCGCGCCGAGTCTTCGTCGTTTCCGGATAATTCTATCGAATAACGGCACAATGTGGAAACGCGTCGAGATTTCTTTTTCTTTTTTCTTTGTTTTTTTACGAGAATTTCCTTACCCCTCGAGGTGGGATTTGCAGTCGCTCCGAGGAACGATGTACTCTCGAATGTACACGAGATGCTCGTTGGACGCATCGAAAGGGATCGTGGACATCTATTGGCACGTTCAGATTTTTAACTTACCCTTAAAAGCTAGCTTAACTCGATAAATCTTTACATACATGGATATTCATAGGACATGGTGACGAATAAACCGCGGAAGCGTCGGGTTCAACGAGAGCGAGGGGGTGGAGTTAAGCGGGTTAACAAAATTTCAATTGTTTATTCATATGAAATTCGACCGACGTCCGGAAATCTTGTGCGGGACTCTTCGCGATGTCGTACCTCCTCCCAGGGCAACGATTCGACCCCTGTCTCGTCTCTTCAACGGTTTCCATCGCAAAATGCCTCTTTACATGCAACAACGTCGTACAATATCTAACGAGAACAACAACTAATTTTATACCCTGTGCACACCCGGCAATTTATTATTCACTTTTTTTTTCTTTCAGTTAAACGCGCGCGTGCTGATGTTCGCCGCGCCGACGAGACCGGAGGTGCGAAACTCGACGTCTTCGAAAGTAACGACGATATCACTTATTATCTCTCCTTTTAACAACGTCACGGACGGAATATCGCACGCATTTACCCGGTGCCTCGTTTCGTCGTCACCGAGGTGACTTGACCAAAGTGGACGATTTGAAAAAGTCATACGTGTTCGATATATCCATTCGTTCGTGATAGTACATCTTTACCGATTCGTTTTTATAAATGGCGAATGATAATGGATTCATCCGGTCCGAGACTCGATTTTACGATATTGCCTCGAAATTGTGGCGGCACTCTCGCCAAGTTGCATCGGGGACGACGATCGACTTTCGCTCCATAATGTTGGATGCAAAGTAACGAGCACCTTTCCATATTTACACGGCATAACACCTCTTAGGTTAACTTTTCCCGAGAGTAGTCCTACGCGTCGGAGCCAATTAATTTAACAGCTAGTCGATAAACATCTGAACAACCTTACGTGCCGCAAACATGATACGTTGTCGCGCTTCGAGGTGGATAAAAGATTCCGACAAGTGTAACAAAACGTAACAATGGTTGACAATTTAAAGCGACTTCGAAGGCGTCGAGTCGTCGAGATCGGGAGTCGGTACGTCGCGAGGCAATGGACGAAGGAACGATTATAAGTAATATATCTCGATATTCGATATAACGAAACGAGGTGGATGAACTTTCTTATAGTATCAACAAATGTACGTCTAATAATCGTCTCGAGTGCTCGATCCTTACTGGGTACGATTTACGGGTCCTATAAGTAGGCTTTATCGACAACAGTTCTGTACATACTTCCCTAAAGTAACCACGTATACGATACGTGTCGACCAACTATGGAACACTAAATTTCCCAAAGTTAATATTTCCGGGGCGAACACCTCAAGTCGAAGAAATGGCGTCCTCGTTTCGTGACAGTCGATCTCGATCGTATCTCTGGTCACCAAACGTTAACTAAAGGTTTTGACATTTCAAACGGTGGGTGGAATTCCTCAGTTCCGGGTTAACAGAAAATTCCGAATGTCGAGGGTCTACTGGTTGAACGTTTCGGGATACTTTTGGTATATCTAATAATCTCATAACGCATCTTTAAGGCGATCAAAAGTACGATCCGCGAGCACGGGGGAGGCAACGTCTTGTCCGGCAAGCTTCACTCGTCCGACGTTCGGCTCGTTATCGAAATCGCCGTTTAACGATAATCAGTTTATTGCACGCAACGGCAAGCTTCGCAGTCGTGAAACGTTCGGGACTCGAAGGGGCACTTTCCTCCTAAGTGGACTTTGCAAGACTTTACTCGACAGAGGGACTCTGCACGTTCTTCGTCTTGATCGACCGCCCTCGAATACGAATATCAAATTTGATCCCAGATTACACCTAATAGCGTCAGAGTTCTTTGGCTATGTACAAGAGGACGTCTTCATACCGATTAAGCCACTCGAATCCTGGATGGGAAGGGCAACCTTCTTCAAAGCAACTCCTCGTTGTCATCTTGAGCTCCGTACATCTGCGGTTTCCTTTCCTGTTGCGGATGCTGCTTCCGGTTCTGAAGTAAGGCGATGCTGGCTGCTTTGTAGTTGATCGGCCCGTAGGATCGGTAATCCACGTCGGCGTAATCCAGATCCGAGAATTCCGGCTTGAAGGGCTGGACGAAAGAAACATTCGTGAACGCCGAGGCGATGTTTAAACGAAGTCCCGAATTTAATTTTTACAAATCTTGAAAATTCCAAACTGGAGCTCTCCAGCGGCGATATATCGCAACCGACGATCGAGAACACGAAAATATGCGATTTCGTATCGACGAGTTAGCGCACTGGTTGATTAATTTGCGTAAAGAGCACACGCATTGAAATCTGCAAAGCACTTGTCGCGATGCAAGCTGCGCTTTGTGTTAGTCTCACATTAAAATTGAAAAAAAACTCGCTATATTTACGAACTGACCTGTCTTCAAAGCGAAACGATTTGCTAGGGAATCGGTCTCGTCGCGAGAAGAGTGCACACAAGCGGGGCAATGGGATTAAATGCTCTCGGGGGTTTAGTTGAGAAGAAAAGGAAAGCGGCCATTTTTTGTCGATTTTTCTGATTTTTTACCGACAATCGGAAGTCAGTCTTGCGCCCTAAAAACGCAGCGACAGAGGGAAGACGCGATCGTTCGAAACGATCATTTTGAAGAACCTTGGAAAATGAGCCTCTCGATTCCTGGGACGTCGGTCCCAGGAATTTAGCGGCAAGTTTACGTCGGCCGTCCATGACGAGTGAGCGTTCGTTCGTCGCAAGAAAGTCGGGACTCGTTAACGAGTCTTTTCCTCGTTCCGACGAGAGATTCGTATCCGTAACGATATCTCCAAGAGGCACGTCGTTATTTCAATTGGTCCAATTGAACGGTTTAGCAGGGGGGAGGGGGAAGTTGGCCGAAAAGTAGGCGGTGGAAAAATAAGTCAGGATATAAGCTGGAGCGGAAAAGTCGCGCCGACTCGCAAAAAGGAAAGGCGAAGTTCGCCTTGCAAAGGGACAACGCCGAGAGCGTGCAGTTAGTTGAAAAGCCTCGAAATCGGAGCGCGGAAGTTAATTACGTCCCAGGGTGCGAATTACGCGGACGAAGATTATAGAGGAGGTCGCGAGGTTCGGAAGACGGGAAACAAATGAAGGCCCCGAGCCTCTGCCACGATTTCCAGCGTGCGTTTTCAACGCGCGATAAGGTCGATCGAGCGAACGACTGCCGTGGGATTTTCAAGGGACTAAACGTCGCTCAAAGGGACCGCATCGTTGAAAGGGGTGCCGATTGCGGTGCTGTCGGAAATGAGGTCCTCTCGCCGGTTCCGACCTCGAGGAGGTCCCGATAGGACGGATCCGCACCCTGGTCCCGAAAATTCGCAAAGTGGCGCGAAGATATTAGATCGAGGCACAAATTCGGGTGATTTTCATTTTTCGACAATTTTTTTCACACCTCAAATTTATGTCTCGACCCAATATGAACTAAAAGCTTGCGAGCAAGAGGAAGATGAGCGGTGCAGAAAAGAGAGCGCGCGAGATACCCACGGCACGACGCAGGCCGGCTTTGGGGCATTGGATCTCGGTCTTCTTCTAGTAAATGTACGTATCACTCGTGGCCGGCTGACGTTCCTACGAACAAAGAGCCAAGTACAGATATGGCGAATGAGGAGATCTCGACATTTCGAGTCTAACCGCGAGATGAAAAAAAAAAAAAAAAATAGGTCGCTCGAAGATCAGCCCTGTCGGGTCGAGCTTACTTCCGTATCGGTTTCATGAATATATTTCCGCAGGTGGCCGGGCTGGGAACCGCGACTGAATTTTCCTCGATACTGCTGGCTGAGACAAGAGAAAGATAATCGGCTGAGAAATTTCCCGGCGATAACGTTGCTTCTGGATTATGTTTCAGAGCACGATCCTCTCCAACATCCAGGAGCGGTAGAAGACCTCTCCACGTAGAGGATGCACGCCGATCGCGGTAAGTAGCAGCACGACTTAAAAGCTCCGTTCCCCGAAAGCGCAGTTTTAGAAAACGATCCCATACCCCTAATAGCATTGCGATCCATCCCCAGCCTTCGTTAAATATCAAGGGACCGGTGGGACCGCTAATATCCAGGGTATTCAGGCGCAAAGTGCCACTGGAAGAGGAACTCGAGGCATCTCGCGTTGGAACGTCGAGCGCCGATTTGGACGAGAAGACACCCTTTCGTTGCCGGCTTGAACGGACCGGGGTGGAAAAATAAAAGCCTAAATAGGAAGGCTGGATTTTATTTTCGCCTCGCGCCGACGCTAGCGGATTTTAAAGGAGCGTTATTCGCGCGAGTCGGGACTTCTTCCGCTATTTACGACTACGGAGCCAAGTCGATAGACTAAATCTTCATCGGGGAACTTTCCTCGGCCAGTAATTCTTGTCCTCCCGGGCACTTTCCCTATCGACGTCGTCTTGGATCGTAAGTCAACGTCGTCAGGCTGAATCGTAAAAGCGGGTAGAATGGCGTGACGGGGAGCAAGAATTAAGAAGAAGGAACTAAAGTCTCCACCACTCGTCCTTAAAAGCAGTCGCGCGATTCAAGCGAATTCGCGAAACGAAAGAGCCGCGACGCGACGCGGCTTAACGCAATGTGACGCGGTGTGACGTGACGTGCCACGTTTTCTTGGCCATTTCTTGGGGCACGAGAAAGAGGATAAACGGATGAGAAAGCTGTCTGGATATGTCGTATAGTTCCTAGCGATGTTCCGGTGTCGATGCGACGTTCCTCCGTGCCCGACCGGGGTCGATCGATGTCTGCACTTAAAATGGCGCATTGTGCAAGATTGCACGAAGCCTCGGTTTAATATCGAACCCGAGCCGAACGAGTAAAGAACTCGCGTGCAATATACAACTCTATTTGGAAAGCTCGTCGTGTACTCTTTAAGCGGAACGAGCCAGCTCGGGTAATATTACTCGCAAACGCTCAGATCCGAAGGCAAGTCGTCGGTGACGAAGTTAAGGCTGCACCGAATGCCATACGGTCGATAACATCCTGCAACGATGTAATATCGATAACGATGGGGAACAATTTTTGGGGGAAAGCGATCCTCCGTGGAACCACCAAAATGGTGGTTCGTTAAAGCGAAGACCCCAAAAGCGAAAGGACTCCGACCGATCCCAAGAAAAATCATTGATAAAGGGACAGAGGCTCTAAATTTCCTTAAACTTGAGTTTAACTTCGTCACGGGTCCAACTATCCGTTAAATGATTGCTCCTTCCGGTGATGTCCTGGGGGCGAGGTAATTTCGGCAAGTCGATCGCGGGGATAAGTCGAAACGACTTCCCTAGTACCATGTAACGCGGTATTTCGTCCCGACCTCGATGGCCCTCGTTTGATCTCGTCACGATTTAATAAACTCGCAGTTCCTCTGGCCGTAAACCTTAGGAAGTCCTTCGGCAGGGTGGACGCGCATGGAGGGTTCTCGAACTACGAGTAATCCAGCGATCAACGAGACGCGGTTCCCGGGAGGGTTCCAATATGGAGTCTTCGTCAGTTCTCCGGATCAAGAGGACCGGGATGGTGCAAGGGTGCGGGAAGGTGCAGAGTGTGACGACCGCGAGTGGGCCCTATTTGGTGACATCTCGTAACCACCTCGTGTGCGATCTCCCGACCCTACCCCAAGCGCAGAGCTTGATACCCCAGAGGATGCGAGACGTCGTTCGTCCCTCCGTCGACCAGGGTGCAGGAATGGAAGGAGAGCGACCCGGCTCATCCTACCTTCAGACGTCGATCTCCTTGCCGACGTCGCGGAAGCGGAGCTCCGCGTACTGCGTGGAGTTGGGCACCCCTCCGGGCGTTCTAACGTCCCTGTGACTCTGGGTATACCGTTTGCCCTTAGTCCGGCCCTTGGGCAGGTTCAAGTCCGCGTAGTGCACGCCGCGGTCCAGCTGGTGGGGGTTGCGGGGTTTCTGGGGATGGTCGAGGGTGATGGCGTCCTCGTAGTAATGGGGGTAGGCGATCTTGCCGCTCTCGGGGATGCCGAGCTCCTGGTTCCGGTGGAAGCTGGTCTCGCGGGAAGTGGCGTAGCCCTGATCCGGCGCGTGTCTCCTGGCGTCGGGCCTGCGCTGCTTCTGCTTCCGGTCGGCGGGCTCGTGCTTCCGGGGTTTCCGGCGCTCTCCGCGCCTGGAGCCGACGGTTCCGGTGGTTCCGGCCCCGGACTCCTCGTGCCCGCTGCCCTGGCGAGTCGGCATCCGGTCGTGGCCCGGCTCCGGCTCGCCGGCTCCGTGCTGACCCGGGAGAGACGCGTCGCGGTGCGGGAGGGAGTGGCGGTTGTTAGTGTGGGCGAGCGAGGTCTGCAGGGGACCGACTACCGAGGAGGGGTGGTGGGTGCCGCGCGTCAGCGATGTTAGTTGGCCGGAGCTGTTGCTGGGGATAGCGTAGCCGCCCTGATGCTCCTGCTGCTGCCGCTGCCGGTAGTGCTCTTGGTACTTGTGCTGACTGTTGGTCTGCAACAGGCACGGTTAGTCTGACGATTCGGGCGAGGTTAGGCGGGTCGTTAGCGGGGGACTCGAAGGGGTCCTCCAAGAGGTCGGGATCGGCCGGTGGAAGCTAAAAAAGGGACTTTTGGACCTCCGGAAGTCCGCAACTCGAAATCCCGCCTGACCACCGGCCATCGGAGCGTGGAAGCTCTGATAACCGAAACGGGCTTTCGGACGCAAGAGAGCCCCCCTCGACCGTCGACGTTCCGCAAACGTTTCAGTTGGCGTCATCGGAGCTTGCAGGCACCGCCGACGTTCCGTAAACGTTTCGGTTCGCGTCATCAGGGGTTACAGTTGCTGACGACCGAAACGCGGAACGGCGGTCGAGCTGGACCTCGCGTGGTTTCATTCCGAGCGAAGAAATGCGCGGGGGACCGGGAAACTTGGAAATTTGCGGATACCGGACTCCGGGAAGTCGGACTCGAGTTTACGAGTGGTCTCCTGGCTCGAAACCCGGCAATTGAAAAGCCGGGAAGAACGGTGCTTCGCTAAAGTTTTACGGCGTCTATTAAACTCTCTAATCAGGTACTTTTCTTCGATGTGCCGGATGAATCCGATTCCGCGGAGGGGGTGGAGGGCTGGGGGACGTTATTGCAAAGTAAAGCGCCTCGAGTCCTGACGAGGAGAAGTAATTTTCACGAGAAAAGGGATTCCGCCCCCTTATATCGCGAGATGGACGGGATAATGGCGGAACTTGGCGAGCAACCGTTTCGATCGACGGCTCGATCGGATTCCGGCCGATCCCGGGTCTTCCCGTTCGCGGAAAGTCGAGGACGAGGTCGAAGCGAGGAGGCCAAAGGAGAGGTCCAGGTGTCCAAGTTCGGTCTCGGGTTGGTCAACGAGTGGAGACTTACTTGACGCGCGGCTGACATGCACAAGGGCGGTCGCTACATAGATGCCCGGATCCAGCTTAGCAGGGAAAACACGATTTCCAATTAAAACCCGACATCGAGCCGCTCTATCCGCTACTTGCTCGCGGGTGCGGTTTTACATCTAGTGAGACACGCAAATGTACTCGTGCAGAAAACGCGACTCGTGGGCGGGGTGCTCGAGGAATAATTCGTACCGACACCCGCTGAATATCGCCAAGTTCTCGAGACATTAAGAGTCCCTTCGTCGAGAGACAATGGTCGCGATCAGACCCCCGGAAGAGGTTTTCGTCCGAGCGGAGAAAGAATCGCACTTAATTACGCTTTAACGTGGCTGCAGCTTCGAGTTTAATGGCTCGCTAATGCCGCGTTACATCGGGGGCTATGCGGACCAATTTAAAAGAAGCCCCCCTCAAGGAGAGTTCACCCTTTTGGACGCGGCCGTGATAACCTTACGTTATTAAGAACTACTTACAACTTTCTCCTGATCGAACCGTGCAACCCATTACCCGTAACTCGGATGATCGCGGTGGAAACGCGTGAAACCCGTGAAACTCGCGGTAAGGTCCACAATAGAACAAAACTCGGATGCAAACGAGCGCACCTCTGCGTAAGTCACTTTGCCCGGAGACGAAGGTTTTCGGTATACCCCGCGATTCTATTCGAAAGAAGGGACAATCGATAAGGTCCAGGACGTAAATCTCGGGCAGAAGCTCCAGGCAAACACGGATGCTTATTCGGATCCTGCTCGTTATTGGGTTTTACTAGAGTTCCTCGCGCGGAGGTGGTGATTTATAGGGTCACCAGGATTTTTCTAACGATTGAACGAAGAGAGGTGCTCGAGAGCAACGAAAAAGTCGCGCGCCACCGTTAAGAGGCGCCAGGACGAGAGGTAACTCCCAGAAATGTTATCATCCGCTATCATCCATGGCGATTCCATCTCCGTCTCTCGGGAATATTTTTCAAGGTTCTATGTTTACAAAGAAAAGACGACCCATCGGAGGCTCGTCTTCGCGATCCGGAGGAGTCTGGTTGCGACTTCTGCGCGATATTCCCGTGTCTCGGTACCTGGGGGAATGGGGAGAAAGATTAGTTGGCGACGAACCTTGGTCCTAGCGAGCGTGGTACTTTTTTGGGGGAAAACGGGTGGAGGGACGTTTTGGTAGGTGTGGAGGGAGGGGTCGGTTCTCTTGGTCCTGGGAGCTGGGACCGGTGGGGTGCGAGATTTGGTCTCGTCGGTGGAGGGTTCCTCGGGAGTCGGCGCCCCGGAGTCCGGGGTCGACGCGGCGTCTTCGGGCTGGTCCGTGGTCGCTATCGTGGTGGTGCTGGCGCTTTTGTGGGGGCAGCTCTTGAAAATGGGGATCGCGTAGAGCCGGTAGTTCCCACGGGCTGGTCTGTGTCCGTGGCATAGTCTGAGCGAGTAGAACCGAGCGTGGCGGTGCTTCCTGCGCCGCGGCTTCAAGGTATTGCACTTGGGCTCCGGCGAGTTGGTTCTGGGCATATTGTGCGGACCGTAGTGCGGGCCCAAGTGACTCTTCGTCGATCCGTATCCGGAGGATCCTCCGCAGAGGCTGGCCGCTCTGCTGGCCGGCCGCGAGGAACACGGGGAGGTCGTGGCCGAATGCAACGTGCCATGCAAAGCCGAAACTCGGGCAAACTTAGGGGAAACCAACTAAAACAGAAGCGAGCCGCGTGACGGCCAGCGCTACGGTTAAGGCACATCTAAACTCTTACCTCCTATCCTGGAGACTTTGCGAAGAGCTTTGGTCGGGGCTCGATGTCGCCTCGCGTCTCTCGATGCGAATCGAGAATTCGTCTCCTGACTTGCGGTGCGCTTTTTCAATACATTATCAGACAGAGCTGTACTTAAACGCGATCAGACCCAGGCCAAGACACAAGGGATGCGAGAGGATACTCATCCATACAGAAATTAATAAATCCATCCCATGAACTCTATCGTCCCTCGCGGGGGTACCTTCGTCCTGCTCCGTTGCATATCGTATTCCTAGGGAATTAATTAACGAGCAATCGGGAGTATAGACGCTTAAGTGGATTTCGATGTTTAATAACGATTTATTGGCGATCCTTGATGCATCGAGCCCCGACCAAGCCGCGTCCTCTGCAGTGGAGCTTCGCGTTCGATTCGCAAGCTGCAGGCACTCGAAACGGTTAAATCTCGTCATCGTTGACACCCGACTTCAGATTTCATGCCAGCGCAAGGATACGTCGTAATCGTGGATTCTAGCGCACGTACAAGCGACGGTCAATGCATTATACCATTCGACGGTACTTTGTTCGTCTGCGTTCCTAACCGTCATCGATCTGCAAGTTTGGAAGCTCGACCAGCGAACTCTGGTACCGACGAATCCACGGAGGAATGGTTAGCGAAGCATTGGTTGCGATCGGGTCTGCGAAAGTTTCCCGTGAAATATCGCGAACCGATCGGTTGTCCGGAGTCTGGTTGCAGTTTTGACCGAACGAACGCGCGAGAGAGACGCGGAGGGCCAGACTTGGCTGCAAGTTCATAAATGAAAGAGAAGCAGGGATCGTTCTCGGAGAAGCCTTTTTTGTTCCGCAGTTCCGGGAGGGCCGAGGGAGGCTCGCCCTTCCTAGTTTGAATGCCAGTTTAGCCTGCAGCTAGAGGGGAGTTTCGGCCCGTTCCTCCTCACGGGCGAAGACCCCGAGACTACTTGACGATGCACTCAATGCGATTATTTCACGGTGACTTTGCACCGCGTTTCAAGCACGACTAATTGCGGGGAGCCGGATATACCGCGAAATGCAAAGATCCGTTTACAACGATTATCCAGCGCGCTGGGCGGTCCCGATATCTCGGTCTCCGTTTCGATCTCCGAAAAATTCCAAATGCTGCCGGTGAAATTCGATTATCATTTTCGAGGCGAGAAAAAGTGGAACAGCTGTCGATTGTTTTCAGTTTTATCAATGACGAAGCACCGAACACCCGGCCGTCGACGCTGTTGGACGATCGCCGCTGTCTTGGATAAATCACTTGCAAGGGAAACGAAATATTTTTATTCCACCTAGTTGCGGCCCTTTTTCGCTCTGCTTTTGTTTTTTACCCTCGCTAAGCCACTTAGGTCCAGACGTTCCCGGAGCTTTAGGGCTTCCGAAGTAGCTAGACATTTACGGTTATGAATACGCCCCCCTCGACGGCGGCGGAAACTGCCGTCGATGTTTGCCTCGGTATATTTCATTGTTGAAATTTCGAGAGGAAAGAGACCCCATTAAATTCCCGGAGGGAACCGATACTTCCCGAAGCGTATAACTTTCTGGGAAAAAACTAGCGGCGAGCCGTGCCGTCGAAATGGTTCTTTAAATCGCCGGCATATACGCGACGCAACGTTTAATCGTATGTACACGGTCATCTTCCAGCCGAGCGTTTGGAGTGTTGACATTTCCTTTAACGTTGGCCTCCGACAGACTGGGCGAGGAGCAACGCGAAAATAGGCCTTTTTTTTTTCCCAAACGTTTCCATTTTTGACCAACCTTTTGGGATATAACTACGGATAACGCGGTAGAAACAACGGACGCGCGGTGCGTTGTTATCGAGAATGTACCGATTTGTCCGGGCAACTCTCTAGGTGCAGTTTCGAGCTCGCACCGTTAATTTATCGCTCAATTCCTGGAGTGTCCAAAATTCAACGCGTCTCTCCGCCGTTATGCCGTTAATTTATTATTCCGGTGGTCCCGTTCAAGTTTGTCCGGCTCAGAAATTCATCGCTGTAAACTCGTCGCCCCTCTACTCGTTCCGTTTCCATATGATACATTTCGCGCGATATATGACCCGTGACTGATACGCATTACCTAGTTACGCGATCGTTTACGCTTCGCTTAGTAATCCACTATGGAACGTTGCAATTGGGTAACGCGATAACCGATCTGGATATCCTTGAATGGGAGAATTTGTCCCGATAATGCGTCAAAACAAGATTCTCTCATCGACCGATTCGTCGTCGACATCTTACCTGGTGCATAATCCACGACCAATGCTCGCTAACCACTCTCGTGATTAATATTTTCCTTCTTAAGCGTGAGTAATGCAACTTACGGAACGACATCGGGAGAAGATACGAAAAGTCCATGCGAAAGGGGGAGAAGAAAATCGAAAGGGACGAGCTGACGAACAAACCTTGTTGGGGGGCGTTTGTATCCCATGAAATGGGAGGTTTTCGTAGAAGGTCTTCGTCTCTGGCTCTGGAAGACCTTCCGAAATGCTGTCCACGTGGTTATTGTTTGCCGCTGGATTGGGATCTGTAATTTTAAGTAAACAGAAATTTTACCATCACTCGGGGAAACTTCGATAGAATTTCGGAAACGGCGCGGCTAGCCCGCTGCTATTCGCCAGTGAATTCGGGGGATTGGATTATTAATGCACTTTTAGTGAACGGGGATAATTAATTCGTGATATCGAACTCGTGCTCTCTAGAGGGTCCTTCGGATGTTAGTGATCCCGGTTTGTGCGATATTTCGATTCTAATATTATTAACGACCGTAGATCGGGGGACTATTTGCATCGTCATGGAAAATCATGGACGTAAAAAATTAATATAATTGGTTGCAATCGATCATGACCGTAAATGCAGTCGGATGCGTCAGTTGAACACTTTCTGGGGGCGGATTGATTTTTTACATCCATGACAAATACAATGGGGTTATCGAAAAACGAATTTTTCCAATGCAGCGGTCGTAGTTATCGGTACAAGATTACGGACGCATTCCTATACGTGATATCTAGTTTCCGAAACGGAGAAAAGGTTGAGTGAAATTCTCGAACGTTATGCATTCAATATCGAAATTGACATGGCTCGGTACGTTAACATGCCATCGACGACAGGCGTTAATGTAAAGTGCTATTATCACGGTGCTATTATCAGGTGATGTATTCCTATCCTAGGGTCAAGTTGCCTCGGTATTTAAATCAGCTCCGCAATTACGTTTACTCGTGTACATCAACGGTACATGGACAATGAAACACATATAAATTAACGGTAAAGGTCATACCGATCTTCATAAGGGAAAATAAATCATTCAAAGCGATTCAGTTAGACAGTATTCTATGATTGCGTGCGAATCAGACCTTAATAAGTACCTCCTTGATGCATTACTTACAATAATCTGCGAAATAACGTGCCTCTAATTGTCGACTAATAGTTAATAAATGACTCGTAGTGTTAGCTAGTTGATTAATCAATTTCCCAGTATACGTACGCGTTTCTCTGCCGAGCGGACTTATTTCCTTCTATGTTAATAATTAATATTTATAGGACGGTGTTACGTCGTTTATCGCTCATTGTGCTCCCGAAAGTAAGCGTAAAAGCATTGTTTCGCCAGGCGGGTGGGCCAAGGGACACCTATTTGTCACCCCTGTCTTAGTTTCAACAACTTTTGTCCCTTGGCTTTTTTACTGCACACTTAACAGTGCCGGAAGGAGTTAAAGCGGTACACCTCGGCTCTATTCGTAATAAAGCTGTCGTCCGGTGGTTTACTTTGAACTCGCGTTGTACCCGAATCCCGCCATAGTTTATGGACCACACAAACCGAAAAAACAATCCAAGGGGAATCATAAATATCCAAGATCGAGAGAATTAATTCCCTAAAGAGAATTTCGTAAAAGAGCGCGCATTAGAGGGACGCGCAGCAAAGAGAGACTTAACCACGTTTCCCGGAAGTAAAGGATTATTTTGTTCTAAATTAATTACCACATGTTTCTTGGGGATTTATCGTTCTTTTAGGCCAGTGGCGATAGCACTGAAATAAAATCAACTTAAGTTTGATCTCGCCTGTTCCGAGCGTGAAATAATTTGGAGTACGGCCAAATCGAGCTTGATTCGGATCAAATAACGTAGTCGGGATTAATCGATAAGTGAAGTCGGGTACCAACTTGGGATCCAGAATTACCTTCGAATGTTAAATTTAATTAAGCTTCCCCGTTCTCCGTAATTTTCGATTTATTTTCCATGAAGTAGACGATGACGTTTAATACCCAAAGCGACGTCTGAAGAACGACCCTGCTTTCCGTGCAATTGTTTGAAAGATTAAACGGATAGTCGGGTGATCTTATTTAATTTGCAATTTATATTAGAATTTGTCCGTAATTATCCCGAGAGCGCTTTGTGGCTTGGCTCTTTGGGAGTTGTAGATTTTGAAAGCTACTACCGTCTGCATCTGAAGTTGAACTTGAAAGGACCGGGAATGCTTTCTGTTAGCAACGTTTGTAATTCAGGTTTGAAGTCATGTCGGAGCCAGCGAGCTTATTGAATCGATAAATTCACATTCTCCCACCGAGTAAGCATGTAAGAACGTGGAAACTGGAGTGCATAACCTCAAGCCCCATGAAAAAGCAAATATGTGGCTTATTAAAAATCTACAGGATCATTTCTGGAATGGAAATGCAGAAAATTCTCACTCGGTCGCGATAATCGATGATAACACAACATATCTGGCTTTTTAGAAATCCACAGAATTATTTCTGGAATGGAAATGCAGAGAACTCTTTCACTCGGTCGCGATAATCGATAATATCTGCACGAATGCCAATCGGGTGGAAAGAAAAAGAAATTGTTGTTCCTTGGTATCGACACTTCTGGCAGTTCGAAAGTAATTCATTAGTCTGATTATTTCTCGGTGATTCGACACTTTGACAATCGGAGCGGAAGTAAGCGAATGTTTGCCAACCGAACGGAGCGAAGTATCGGAAAACAATCAAGTACGATCAACGTCGCTCGTGCTCTATCTATGCAGATTTCATTCTCAAGCCTCTATTGTATTATGTCGGGGAGATTTCGATGTTTCTTCCCATAACGCCGAAAGAACTTTAAACTTTTAACGCGCTCGTGGCAGCCCGCCGCTGGGCCATAGAAGTCGGCCACAATAGATGGAATCTCATTTAGACGGGGAGACAATTCCGCGGCGAATATAAAACTTGGAAATTCGCGGAATTAGTGGCTCCTCTGTCCAGTATTTCCCGCAAAAATGTCGGCAGGGGCACGTACAAGAACGAGACACTCCACCTCTAATTTCCTCGGTTTTTCCGACCTCCCTTTTCGTGACTTTTCGCGGATCGCCCGACAGAATTTGCATCCGACCGCGTATACTCGTTCATCGATGAACCCAGGGTATTGTTTCCTCGAATACGTCACAGACGTTGAAATTATCCGACGTTTCTTGCTCGTCGAAGCGTCGATCGAAACTATACGAGCTCATCGAGAGACCTTGATTTACTCTCCTCGTTGAAACGGCGAGCCGGGCGAACTGGAAAACATTAATCGGCGGTCGCTGCGTGTTAAATCACCATGCTTTTTTAAAAACGTATATTATTTCACCACGTACACGTCGACGAGGGCGTTGGCTGGCCAATTGCAATAACCGGTACCTACGGTGATCGACCATCGGGCGATTGGCTCTCGCAAAATTGCTGGATTTGAAATAAAATTAAAAATAAAGGGGGGAAAAAACTGCCTCTCCAAATAAATGCTTTTTTGACGGTCCGCGCGCGAGTATTTATACGTATGTAATGCATCCGACCGGAAATTGGATGCTGACACGAGTTACCTCGACTTTTTTTTGAGGTGCATCGACAATTTTCGAGGACCTCGAATTTCAAGAACCCTGAATTTCACTACTTCCATTTATCCATTATCGTCGAAGTGTCGTCGCATCGGGTAAGAAACGTCGATTTGGACGTTGATTTGCGGTTTTGTCCGAACATTATCGACAACGCCATTATCTCCTTTGGGAAAATCGGAGGAGGTTTTTTCTAGGTTTGTATGGTCGACATGCTTAGAGAGGAAGTTCATGGGGTACGTACCTGCGCCTGGTTTTTTGCGCTTACGGGAGGGGTTCGCATTTGCGCTGCCCCCGTTGGCTGAGACTGCCCCCGGGATTCCATGCAACGTCCCCTGGTGAGGCGCTATTCTCTTGTAAGTCACAGCTGTGGGAAATACATAACGCGGGGATCGTCACGACACATAAAGCCCGTTACATGCACATACCGGCCGCCGATGTCGGGGACATTTGCGGCTGAAGCAACGATTAACTGCTCCGCACTTGGCCATCGGCGACCGCGATTAACTGCGAATATCTTTTATCACCGGTTAATAAACCGAGGAGGAAAGGGGAACGACTTTTGCCGGTGACGTTGGGTTCGCCGAGAGAGAGAAAGAGAGGTTGGTCGTCATCCTTTCAGGATTTTCCAGGATCTTCTACGACCTTTCTCGAGCGGCGCGCATCCAGCGACACCCCTTCGTCGCCTGGATCGTTTCTCTTAATTTCGCCGCCCGCTTTCGCCCATTATCTCTCGGATCTTGCGGAGTTCCGAAACTGCCGACGAGGTGTTCCGAAATGGGATCTCGAACCGAGCTTGCGAGCTTTGGGAGAGGTGCCGAGTCGCGGTCCGTCCGCGCTCTCGCGAAGTGGGCGCTGAAGTTTGCGGAGGTAAAAAGTCCGGAACTCTTCAGAGGGAAGTTTGCCCGGGGGGGCGAGGAGCGATTCTTTTCAAGGATGCTCCTGGATCGTTTTTCTAAATTTCGCGCCGGGTTTTGGTCCATCATCTCGCAGACTTTGCGGAATTTTTAAACGGGATCTCGACGTGGACTCGAATGGAGTTCACTTGCTTTGATGTACCGAGCGCGGTGCTATTTTCGCGGTTCCTGGGGAATGGAGAATGATTTTTTCAAGGAAGATCCTGAACAGTTTTCTTTCATTTTACGGCGGGTTCATTGTCTCGCAGATTTTTCGGAATTTTGAAACGAGATCTCGAACGGAGTTCACTCGCTTCGAGGGAGGTGCCGAGTCGCGGTGCGTCCGCACTCTCGCGAAGTGGGCGTCGAAGTTTACGGAGGTACAAAAGTTCGGAACAGCTTAGAGAGAAGTTCGCCGAGGAACGGGGAATGATTTTTTCAGGGATGCGCCGTACGTCCGAGGGCGAACCGAGAGCACCCCTTACGACTCCCAGCGGTAATTTCGATTTCCTCTTCCGGAGACCAGGATCGACCGAAACTCCCCGTTGCCGGTCGCGGTGCTCGCAAAGGAGACTACGAGGGAATCTCCGACGAAGGGGCGATTGAATTTTTTTTCGAACACGAGAAGGGCCGTTTCCGGCACTTCCGGAAGCACGCCCAACGCCGGAGAAAAGCGTCGCGACTCTCCGATAAGCGCTTTATCGGGCAATATGCGATTCGGCGTTCGCTCGCTGACATTTCCCGGAATAAAATTCCGCGTCGGGGTTTTCGGATTCTTTTTGCAGGAGATAG